GATCCAACCTGCAGACATTTCCAATCCATGATGCACGTTGGCTTCAAACTATGGAATGGATTTCCTGAATGGAGGCGTGTCTCATGAACCCAGAGTAATAAGACCCGCCTCACGTTCAGGAAATCCATTTCATAGTTTGTAGCCAGCTACGATGTGAGGACTGAGTTAGCAGCACTGTGGCTAACAGCTAACAAACTTTTCATCTAAACATGTCCGCTGGGTGGAAGTATTTTACATTAGAAACACCACAAAGCAAGACAGCAACGTGCACTGTCTGCAGAGCCGTAGCGCCACATTAAACCACGGTAAAGTTAGTTTTACGTTGGACATTCGAGCTCTGGGGATTCAGCGGTCTGCTCCTCTCGCTGAACCCATAGTAGGCAGCCCGACCCCGGCCAGCTGCATCCAATCTGCCCCATTCAGTCTGCCCGTCTCTGAGAAGGGACAGACTGAGCGCGACTGACCGAAATCAGGCTGCCTGCTGCGGATTGAACAAGAAGAAGACCTCCTGAAGCCCCGGAGCTCAAATGTTTACAGAGAAGTTGCTAAACTTTATCATAATTATTGGCCAACCACTATCAGTTGTAGAAAATTAAGGATTTCACAGCTTGATACTTGCAGCCAATAAATAGTTTACCCTCCAGGAGATATTTATCAGTACAACAGTAGACAATCATAAAAAAACATATGATTTGAAAATTACAAGAAAATTATATATTAAAAAAATTAAACAATAACAGCTAAAGTGATGTAAAATACTAAAAAACATGTCTGTGTTAGTTTATGCCACGAACTTAGCAGATGTTTAAATCCATTTAATTCTTTATTTTATTTAATTCATTTATTCATTCATTTAAGACAAAATAAACAAAATAAATTAATCCAATCAATCAATCAATCAATCAATCACCTTTATTTTACCAGGTAGAGCCCGTTGAGATCGAGATCTCTTTCACAAGGGTGACCTGGTCAAGTGGTCATCAGCACACGTCACAGGGTTATTGACAAAAAGAAAACATTGAGTGAAAAGAGTGCAGAAAGAAGACAAAAATTCTTATATTTCCCCCTTATTTAAAAAAATATATAAAATAACTTTAAACAATCACTTAATCACTTTAATATCCACTTTAATACTAGGAATAAAAGAAACATGTTTTGTGTTAGCAGAATTTAATTCTAACTTTAAAACTTATCCAACATTAATAAAACTTACCTCAAGTTTCCTTTTTGACATGCATGCATATATTTGTACAAATTGTACCTGAGAGGAGATGATTACAGCCTCATATAAAATCATTGATGATCATGATATCGGAACTGGATCGGTATCGACTGATATCCAGATGTAGGTATCTGATCAGAAGTTAAAAAATGTGAATCGGTGCATCCCTACTTACAGCAACACTGAATCTGTACTGGTGAAAGTCACTAATGATATTCTCATGGCCTTTGACAATGGACTTGTGTCTCTACTGGTCCTGTTAGACCTCAGTGCTGCATTTGATACAGTTGATCATAATATTTTACTACAGAGACTTGAATATGATATTGGAATTACAGGAACGGTTCTAAAATTGTTTAAATCATATCTATCTGATAGATTGCAATTTGTAAATGTAAATAATGAATCTTCATCATACACCAGAGTTAGTCATGGAGTTCCTCATGGTTCAGTGCGTGGAACAATACTCTTTACCTTATATATGCTTCCATTAGGTAAAGTTATTAAACAGCATGGGATAGATTTTCATTGTTATGCTGATGACACACAATTATATTTGTCCATTAAACCCAATGAATCCAATCAGCTACTTAGACTACAAGCATGTCTTAAAGACATAAAAACCTGGATGACCCTTAATTTTTTGCTATTGAATACAGACAAGACTGAGGTTTTAGTTTTTGGACCTGAGCACCGTAGGAATGAATGTTTCAGTCTTTCTTCCTCCTTAGATAACATTAATCTGTCCTCCAGCTCTAATGTTAAAAATCTTGGTGTTATTTTTGATCAGGACATGTCTTTTATCCCCCACATTAAAAACGTTACTAGAACCTCCTTCTTCCACCTGCGTAATATCACTAACATTAGAAACATCTGATCTAAAGATGATGCAGAAAAACTGCTCCATGCATTTGTCACGTCTAGACTGGACTATTGCAATGGTTTATTATCTGGGTGTCCAAATACTTCTTTAAAACGTCTTCAGTTGATCCAAAATGCTGCTGCCAGAGTCTTAACTGGAGTTACTGGGAGAGATCATCTCTCTCCAGTTTTAGTTTCTCTCCATTGGCTCCCTGTCAAATCCAGAATAGAATTCAAAATCTTACTTCTAACCTACAAAGCTCTCAACAACCTCGCTCCATCTTATATTTGAGATCCTATTGTTCCATATTTTTCCAACAGAGCACTTCATTGTCAGACTGCAGGTTTACTCGTGGTTCCTAGAGTTTCCAAAAGCAGAATGGGAGGAAGATCTTTCAGTTATCAGGCTCCTCTCTTGTGGAACCAACTTCCAGTTTCTGTCCGTGAGGCTGACACATTATCCAGTTTTAAGACTGGGATTAAGACTTTCCTTTTTGATAAATACTATGGTTAGGGTTGGCTTGTTATGCTGCCTTAAGCTTAGACTACTAGAGGACAAATTGACCTCATTTGCTTAAATAAATTGTTAAAATGGAATAATTTTCATTTTCATTCAACCTTTATTCTTTATTTAGACTGATAAATCACACTGAACCTTAAAGACTCATTTACAAGTGAGATCTGCTTAGACAGACAAAAAATAGTGAAACTGGACACATGTAAGAAATGGAAGCAAAAAATTCCTATTTGATAATATTTCTTTTTTTTTTTTTTTTTTGATGGCCTCCCTTCTCCCCTTACAGCCATCCTCTCCACACCATTATTATGAAATATTTATTCTAGTGACTATCTAGTGTAGGTTTTTTTTTTTTTAATAGGATAGAAAGAAAGAAAAGACAAAGTAAGACTCCAAAATATAAGAAATATACACAAAGAGAGCACACGGCAAAACACCCGGCCACTGTCTGTTCACCTGCAAAGAACATGACAAAACACAGCAACAAAATACATATGTATAAAGAACTTAAAATATTCATGGCTTTGCAGTAAGTTTCCATAAATATATATACCCATACCTACGCCTATATACATACATACATACATACATACACATGTATATACATTCACATACATATCTATATATCTATATATCTACATATAAAGCCTACATAAGCATCCCTGCTTCTATTTGTGTGTGGTTGTGAGCATGCATAAGTGTATAAGGCTTCTCTAATAGAACATTTAATAGTAACTGTGAAGCAGCAGAGACCCGACCCCCAAGACCACAGGTAGACGAAAAAGGGGGGACCAGAGCCCAAGACCCCAGGAGGGACCTTGATTTGATAATATTTCTATCTTAACATGTGATTCTTGACCTGCCATTGTGTATCTGTTCCTACCAAACCCAGTCGGTAGAGGCAGATGGCCGCTTGTCCTAAGCCTGGTTCTGCTAAAGGTTTCTTCCTCTTGAGGGAGTTTTTCCTTTCCACTGTTGCATTCATGATTGTTCAAGATGAGAGTTCTGTTATGGAGTTAAATTCAAAGCAATTCTGTTCAGTACCCTGAGATGACTTCTGTTGTGACTTGGTGCTATATAAATAAACTGAACTGAATCAGGGATGCTCTGACCTACATTACATATGTAGATTGTAAAGAGGGTGTGTCCTAAGACTGAGCCTTGTGGTACACCATTGTTTACTGTTAAATAACTGGAGGAAGTACCATTATGTTGAACACATTGCCTCCGGTCTGAGAGATAGTTGGAGAACCAACCAATGGTATGATCTGAGAAACCAATTTCTGAGAGCTTATGACACAAGATGTTCTGATCCACAGTGTCAGAATCTTTAGACAGGTCTAAGAAAAGTGCAGCACAATAATCCTTAGCATCCAGTGCTTCAACAACATCATTAAGAACCTTCAGTGAAGCAGTGGTTGTGCTGTGTTGTTTCCT